AAAAGCGGTAGCCATGTTTATGCAAATGAAGCGGGGATTTAAATCCCCGCTTCATTTGCATAAACATGGCTACCGCTTTTTTCCGGCTCGGAGCTTTGCCGGAAAAAAGCGGTAGCCATGTTTATGCAAATGAAGTGGGGATTTAAATCCCCCCCGCTTTTATATGTTGTAAACCAACATATAAAAATCACCCAGGAAAATGATGTGTGTTGAATAATGGCAAATGAAATATGCAATACTACAAACTCTATTGTAATAAAATCCTACCAAATGCCACCAATAGTTCATCAACATTACTCAGAGCTGGAGGAAAAAGTTTTGTGGATGAAAAATGTTTTGCTGAAGCCATACTTTTTCCAGTATGAAAGGTTTTTTTACGTAGAGGTGTGGAAACTTAAAAAATACCTGAAAGACTGAAGCTAATTTTTTTTACTAAAATGTGACCAATGTAATGAACTACTTTAACAGAATGAAAAATGCTTTTTCTATTTTTTCTTTGTAATAATGTCATCCTATTTATTTTATCAGCCTTACCTGGTGCATCGAATCAGACCCTCTACTGATATTTACACCTTCTGTCCCCGTTTCCCCCCCCCCCCAAAAAACACAATATCACCACCTTCTCTGTTCCCTGTGAAGCTATTGGGGAGGAGGAAGGTGTGAAGGGCAAAGTTCCATACTTCTAGAAGGCTAACAAATCTAGAGTGTGGTGGGTCAAGGAGGGGTCCAAATTCCAAAGCTGAGGGCTTTGACGGGAAACATGTTGCCAGCAGCTTTTCTTTTATACTGAGCACCAGTGTTTTTATTAATAATTATTTAGTTAATGTTTTATCATTGGCTTTGAAAGATGTGACCTAGTTATCTACCAGCTGGCTTTGCTAAGTGGTTACACAATTCAGACATGCAATATTAGCACCTTATCTTCTGGAAGACAATAAATAAAAAGGCACATACTTATATGAGTAAGCAGCCCTCCTGTAGTTCCACTAGCCAGGATAAAATCCTACAACCATTCTTCAGGGCACTAGCTCATTGTCAAAAGGGCTGTGTCTACATTGGCACCCTTTTCTGGAAAAGGGATGCCAATGAGACACTTCGGAATTGCAAATGCCACGGGGGATTTAAATATCCCCCGCGGCATTTGCATGAACATGGCTGCCGCTTTTTTCCGGCTCAGGGTTTTGCCCTGCACTAGCTGGACCATTGAACTGTTCCACAGGGGCAGTTCCTCTGCTCCTAGAAACTGGGGTAGACAGCTAGAAGGATCATGCATTACTGGGGTTTTATTTTTTTCTTAAACAAAGATAGCAAAACTACCTGCACCTGGCTTTTAACATTCTAGGGACCACAAAGCTTTGGCCAGTGTGAAACAAGAATACATCATCATTGTCTGACAGAAAGTAAGACCTACTCTCAGGAGGGAGAGAGAGAGAGAGAGAGGAAAATGCTTGATACCAGTGAATGGATTTGGTTTAATGTTATTTACCACTCACTAATTGTGGTTCAGTAAAAGCATTTTGTGTCAGACACACAATTACTGTGGCAAATGGCTGCATTTCTGCATCTGAAATATAAACGTCTCCATTCTGCTTGTTCTCGCTGTGTTCCTTGATACCATTCTAGGTCAAAAAGGCTTTTGTCTATGGCAGGATCCTTTCTCCACACACTTCCATCCCACCCCCACAGTGGAGAAGCCTAACCACCAAGGAACTAATGCAGCTCTACTACACCAGGGCAGGATTTGTGGTCCTCATACAGGGTTGTATACTCTTGTTCCCTATGCACCGCAGGGAATAGCTCTCCCATGGTTCACTGAGCTCTAGCAGGCAGGAGGGTTGCCCCATGAAATTGCAACCATGAAAAGCCACATTCATCATACATCCCTACTGGAGTTGGTTGCATCCATGGCCTTCAGGCTGCAGTAGCATCCAAAATGTGTTCTCACTGCTATGGCGGCTCAGCAGGATATCTTCTGTTCCCTATTCTCAGGGAAATCCAGGCCCACAGGTGGTGAACTGATGCCAGGATATGCCCCCAAAGTATTATTCCTGCATTAATCAAACAGTACACACTACAACTATGTCACACAATTTTTAATGAAGTCAAGGAATCCTGGACATTTTAAATGGAAAATAACTATCAGGGTACCTTGTCTAACTCATTGCCAACACAGGCTTGTTCCTGCCACTTATTTACAGTGTGTAGGTTTAAACTTGACATGGCCTGGGTCAATTGCTTGAAATCACTTAGAGGAAGGCATAAGAGTGGAATCCAATAGACCAGTAGGTGGAATGCAGGATGTGCAATTTGAATCCCTGAAGTTAATAAATAGGTCGGGATTGGGTTATCTGAGAGATCACCTCCCTCCCTGTGCCATACTGCAGCCATTGGAGATCAGCAGTATCCCCTTTAGTATAAAACAAGAAGCAAGATGTTCTCCATAAGGGATCCTCTGCTTTGGAATGCACTCTCCTCTTGGACAATCAGAGCCCTGGTGTATTCACTTTCTAGGCAGGTTGCAAATACTTTCTCCCTAGGTTTCTGGGGAGAGGGCTGATGGGGTTAGCAGAAATCCATATATGCACAGAAAGTCCTTTAATAGCCTATATTTGAATGTGTGAGAACACGGATTAGCCCCAACACTGATTTTTAATAAATGTAATCAAACCTCCCATGGGCATTCATTCAAACTGGGAAGCACAGAACACGGCATTGGGGTATCTGTCTACTATACTCGGGTATAATTCCATAAAGCTGAATGTTATTGTAAAACGATGTTCAATACAGAGTTTCAAAAGAAAAAACTCCTGCAAGCAAGAGCTAATGACATGCTGTGGCACTGTTTTGTAGTCAAAAAGAAGAAGTAGATGGTATCTCGATGTAAGCAGGGTCAGGATAAGCTCTACCCTGACATCTGGTGGTGAATTGTGGCGAATGGTGCAAAAAGACTTCAGGGGCTGATCTCATTTGCATAGGCACACCCACCCCACCTAGTATGTGCTCACAGCAGCCCAAATGGTCACTTTGGCCACTGTGGGATCCCCAGTCTCTCTGTTATTGAGGCAGAGCGGATAAAGTGTTGTTACTTTGATTATATGAATCAAGGACAATGGAATAGTGGAACTGTTTATGACAGAGGGATTCGCCACAAACTAAGTAGCACTCGCTAGACAAGGGGCGTGGGTTCCAAACCCAGTCAAGTTAGGAGAGGTTGGGGATAGGTCTTTGTACCTGGTGGTGGAGTGCTGTCTGAGGGCCTAAACACCGCTGATTGCATCCCTGCCTCTCTCCATTGTGGAATATCAGTGCTAATTTGGATTCTATTAGAAGTCTAGTTGTGAGCTACTGAGCTGACTTCACTGTGGGTGAATGTAGCACTGCGACTCCTCTATTATGAGCTGAACTTGCTGAGAAGCTGAAATCACTGTGTGCTGAAGGGAGCCTGGTGCAATACTGTGGAAGAGCTGAAATCACTATTGCTGTGGGGGAACCTGACACGATACTGCTGAGCTACTAGCAGAGCAGTTTGCAGGGACAACCGGCGAGTGCAAGTGGCCAACATAGCAGCTGGCGGGGACAACTTGCAGGCGACTGGAAGGAGCGGCAGCAGGCAACCAGTGGAGCAGCTGCAGGACCGAGCAGCTGGCAGCCAGGGGTACGAACAGTTTGTGGGACAGCTGAGGCGGCTCACGGGACAGCAGGTGGAGTATGGCGGAGTGACTTGCGTTGATGGCGGCAGCAGAACCCTATGGAGAGGCGGACCACGTAAGGTGTATCAACCCCCACCCCACTCCCGGTTGGGACAGTAACACCCTGCCAGATGAACTTTTGAACCCTGGGGCAGCACTGACCTGAGTCAGAGACTTTTGGGCTATGTCTACATTGGCAAGATTTTGCAAAAATACTTTTTAATGCAAGAGTTTTTTCCGTTAGAGTATTTGCACAAGAGAGCATCTACACTAGCATGAGCTTTTATGCAAGAGATATGCTTTTGTACAAAAGCATCCATGCCAGTGTAGACACTCTCTTGCCCAAAAAAGCTCCGATGGCCGTTTTAATCATCAGGCTTTCTTGTGCAAGAAATTCATGTTGCCTGTCTACACTAGCCTCTTGTGCAAGAACAGTTGTGCAAGAGGGCTTATTCCTGAGCAGGAGTGTCATAGTTCTTGTACAAGCAGCACTGATTTCTTACATTAGAACATCAGTGTTCTTGCGCAAGAACTCCCAACCAGCGTAGACACAGCCTTGGGGTGTCAGACTTTGGGTGATTTTTGGGTTGCTAGACTCAAGAGACTCTTGGGCTACGTCTACACTGGCATGATTTTCCAGAAATGCTTTTAACGGAAAAGGTTTCAGTTAAAAGCATTTTCAGAAAATTGCATCTAGATTGGCAGGATGCTTTTCCGCAAAAGCACTTTTTGCGGAAAAGCGTCCGGAGCCAATATCGACATGCTCTTCCGCAAAAATGCCCCAATCGCCATTTCAGCCATCGGGGCTTTTTTGTGGAAAACAGCACTGTACTGTCTACACTGGCCCTCTTGTGTAAATGATTTGCGAAAGAGGGCTTTTGCCCTAACGGGAGCAGCACAGTATCTTACATGCGATCCTCAGTGTTCTTGCGGAAATTCAAGCGGCCAGTGTAGACAGCTGGCCAGTTTTTCCGCAAAATCAAATGATTTTGCGGAAAAACTTGCCAGTCTAGACACAGCCTTGGGGTGTTGGACTTTTGGGGACTTTGGGTGATTCGTGGCTAGGGGACTTTGTTCATGTTTGGTCTATGAATCTGAGTTGTGGTGTTTACCCAATTTAATGCTGAGGTCAGTTACCTCATGTTATTAAAGATTTGCTGCTATACCGAGGCTCTGTGCTTGCGAGAGGGGAAGAATTGCCTCTTTGAGGTGTCCAGGGATGTATGTAAGATTTCCCAGGTCACTGGGTGGGGGCTCGTGCTGGTGTTGTATTACCTTGTTGGGAGGAGACCCCTAGGTACTGAACCCAGCCCTTCCTGCTATTAACTTGGCCTGGCAGAAGGGTTACATCAAGAACAAAGGTCATATTAATTCATGGGTGGTAGTAGTCACAGCACTCCAGGAACATTTCTTTCTGTTCTCCCCTTGCTTCAGCATAGTAATAATTTAATAATAGCCTTTACCAGATCAAATTACTACCACAGTCTATATTGGCTCAGTTATGCTACATAGCAAGTGGCATTGAAGTACCCCAGGGAGGCAGGTAACTGGCACGTACCCAATTCCCATTAGTCCATACAGAGACATATACTTACTTCCCCTAAGCACGCCTGTAGTTCAAATCACAACTTAAGTTTTGCATTTCATTTAATTAGGGTTAACATTCACTGTCCCAGGTACCTCTGTTAGCCACAACATCTTTCTGTATTTAGAAGATACTCTATAGCTCTATAATAATTAGAGGGGAGACAAATATTGAGTTTTTAATGATGCCTGTTATATATTGATTGGATGAATTTAAACATTTGGGAAATCTATGCATTAGCAGCCGTAGCCAAAGCTAAAATGCTAGACAACAATATTCACAGGCTGTGTTATTGGTATCGCACACCAATTGTGTATCCAAGATGTGGTTATTTTGGTTTTGAGACAGCGGCTTTTTTTGTGAAGAGGCACTAATGGGTTCACAAATGCTGTCAGTTAAATCAAGGACATTAAGGAATCTGGAGAGATCTTAACAGTTTTCTGTCACTTGCTGGAGCTGTTAGAGGATGAATATATGCATTAGTGAACAGCATCATGTCAAGCATTCTAAGAACAGTGTAGGCAGCTAAACAGCTCTTACCAGACAAATCTCTCCAATACTTCCTGCATTCCCAGACAGAAGTCAGTTTGTGTGGAAATCATTGTAAAGCTTGCTTTCTAGGAAGAGATAATGTATGCTTCTAATTTTCAGCTAACCAGTGAATAGTATTTTATTCACAATTCTAAGATGACTTAGGTGTGCTATTTATTAGGCCCACGTTTACTCTCACACAGCCTCTCGAGTCTTGTGGCATTTTGGATTTTCTTACAATAAGTCAATACAGATATTACTTTAAAAACCTTAAACACAGCTCAAAAATATGGCAAGATTACACATTAACATATCCATGTCGTTATACTTTCAATTTCCAGTCAACATGTTTGCAGCAACTCTAATTTCAGGCAGAAACACTTTGTGGGATAGGAATTACACTGCTAATTTTGTGATTGTCAAAAGAAACAAAATGAAAAGAAACCACCACTAAGAGTGGTGAGAAGAAGTAATAAAAGAAGAGCAGTGAGGGAGCAAGAGAAATGATGAGAGGAAAAAGAAAACTCCCTGCCCATAACTTTTCTTCTTTTTTCATTACCTAGTTCCCATCTTTCTTTTCTTGATCTCTCCCACTTTCTTCTTTGCCTCTTCCTTCTCCTGATATGAAAAGCAGCAGCAATAAGCATGACATGAAATGAAACACCACAGGTGTTTGGCTGGGGGAGGAAATTCTGATGCATACCCCCCACTGGCATTCATTCAAACTGGGAAGCACAGAACACGGCATTGGGGTATCTGTCTATTACACTCGGGCATAATTCCATAAATCCGGATGTTATTGTGCAACAGTGTTCAATACAGAGTTTCAAAAGAAAAAGCTCCCGCAAGCAAGACTCAGAAACTAATAACATGCTGAGGCACTGTTTTGTATAATGAAAAACAATCTCTCCAACAAAAACTGGAATGCACATCTTAACACTACTCTCTTATATTTCAGATACCACAGTAGATAACAGCTGGATGATTTACCTTAAGCAATATCTTGAAAGGGAACAATGTGTGAAGCCAGGAAACATAATAGCAAAGCAAGGAGTAAACATGATGTACTTTCTGTTAGTGATAGTATATGACTGTAAGTCAAGACCAAGTGCAAGGAAGAAAAAATCCTTTGGTGCACTAAACACCACTAATAGAAGGAAGCCCTGATGCTATTACGATGGGGGGGAGGGGCACATGTGAGCATCAGATGCAGTAAGAGGGAGGAATCACATATTACCCCAGTCCTTCTCTGGGACTGAATGCCAGCCATGGTTTCAGGGCTTCAGTGAGGGCAATAAGGCTAGTCTCACTGCTCTGCTACCAGGGAATCTGGAAAGCTGTTTTCAGTATGTACTTGGGGCCAAATTCTGCTCTCACTTACACCTGAGTAATCCAGAGTATCTCTACCAACACTAGTGGAGTTGCTAAGAACTTGCACCAACATGCAGCACTTCATGACCAAAGTTGGCACCTTGTGCTTCAGTAAACACAACAGTGAGGCTCCGCTGAAAGAGGAAAGAAGCAGAAACCAAACCCATTGCAAGGACATCTCCAAATCCACACCTCTTTATGAGTAGAAGTGAAACAGTAGCTACAACTGGCAATCTACCTACCCTCCCTGTCCATGAATAATCAATCTTGGCAGCAAGCAGGGAGTGGTTAAAGTAGGAGTTTTGCTGATTCTCTCCCCTTGACACAGAACACAAAATCCAGATAAAAATAAAATGTATTTCTTTTTAGAAAATACCAAGGGTGAAATCCCATCTCCATTTAAGTAAATGGGATTTTTTACTTTAGTGGAGACAAAATTTCACTCCAGGATGCAGAGTAGATGAAATCTGAATGAATTAATATGTTTCCATTTTCTGGAGCATAGCTATCAAAAGGAGCTGCCTCATCTAAAATCCATCCATGTATTTAAAAAAATAGTTCCAAGGAAGTTAGACAGTTAATTAAGTGCATTGTGACAGCCTTGAGAAGGTTTCCTGGGACAGACCAAGAACTTTCGCTAAAATGTCTTTTACTGCAAGATAATACTATCTCACTTGTTGCTGAGATTTAGCATGGAAAAGCCATGTAAGCAGTGGTGCTTATATAATGCTTTCTATGTAGAGCGTAGAACAATGTTTTCATATTTCTTTCCAACTATCTGTGGTGATTTTCTTAGCATTCACTGAGGAAAGAAAGTTATAATAGCACTTTAGCGTGAAGTATGGCATTTTGCATTATTTTAGATCTGGTTCCCTCTGCTGAAATGCCATATACTTATATGTAAATGCTACAGAAAGTGATTCTTCAGGCATTCCATAATTTGCTGTTGGAAATTGTGTGGTTTCTGTTCAATATCCATGTCCATGAAACCAGCAATGTAGAATATAGCATTTTTGTAACCTTAACTGTCCAGTAAGAATGAGACATATTTAAGATTAAGTTCTACTCTTGGTGAGATAATTAAAAGAACTGGTCTTGTCTTAACTGTCAGTGAAGCAACATGCACATTTATGACACTATATAAAGAATGGGCCAAATTCTGAAGTGACCACACAGCTTAAATACTCTCCACAAGTCCCACACAGCTGTTCTGGGCTGAGCATGAGGGGCTCTGAACAAGCTAAGAGGGAAGAATACTCTCACACAGCATGGCCAAGGATTCACTCCACTGCCTTGTGGCCTACGATGTGGGGTAGAAGCAGCAGCAATGGATCTGTGTCCTTAAATCAATACAGCTCCAGTAATCCTAGCACGTACATGACCACCACCAGTTACACGGTCTCTGGGGCATTCTGCAAGTGCTAAATAAGATCAAGCGTTCAGTTTTTATTTCATCCTTACGCTGAACTCCCATTGACTTCAGAGAACATTCTGCCTAAGTATAGACTAATACCTCCAGGATTTGGCTCCCAAATTAATAATAAACATGAAGTATTCCTTTAAGGGGAAGGGGAAAAGAAACAGAACAAGCTAAGGGGTCTGATTGTCTATGGGCCTGCACCTTGTGTAGTCACTTAAGGAGAAAGGGAGTACAAAAAATGGGCGTAAGATCCCCAAATCATCATCATTTGGTGAAATCCTGGATTCACTGAAGCCAAGTGCAAAATTTCCAGGTGCTTCAACAGCGTCAAAGATTTCCCTCAGAGGCTAAAGGTCTGGCATGGTATATATTAGCCCTATAGGTGGTTCATGGTAGGACCTAGGAGGTACACTGCATGCTTCCTCCCTCGTACCTCCTCCCTGTTCCTCTGCATGGCCCTCCCTGCACACTCTCCCCTCACAGGCACCTATTCTGAAGAAGGATTACTCCAGTGCTGTCCCCATGGAAGACTGGTTTAAGGCTGACTTTTGAGGGCCTGCCTCACAAATCCTGCTGGGAGGGACATGCCAGAGGCAGTTGCAGCATGCAGTAGGCCAGAGATCCTGGTCCATGCTCCAGCCCATAGACCAGATCAGGGAAGCTGTTATCCCACCAGAGCCCTCTAAGGGTGCAGCTACATTGCAAACATGACGTGTGAATACAACCCCACAGATGTACCTGAGCTAGCTTTAATCTAGGAAGCTCATGCATCAAAGCACTGAAGCCTGGCAGATTTGAACTGCCCACACTGAAGCACACCCTCTCTCAGCTTCGTTGCTCTGGGACCCGAGCTATTTAATGCTAGTTGAGAGGCACTCACACCCTGTGATTTCAGTACAGACATATCCAATGTTATCCCAATGGCCTCTCCTGTCCTCAGATCATCCCAGGAACTAAAGAGCACAAGAGAGGCTTAAAAATATTGCAACGGGATGGTGGAGTTAATCAACAGTGGGCTGGGTCTCCCACTGCAATCTCACTTTCAGTTCAGGCCCTCTGCGTGAGGCCCTGCTGGACTGGCTTGGGGATGAGAGTTGGGAGTCCCTGTCCAGGGCCCTGAAACTGTAGTGATGTGAGACAGCCTGTCCAGCTTCTTGCATGCCCCTGGAACACTTCCCATCACACCCATCTCTCAGTTTGGGATAGATCTTGCCTCAGACCTTCCCCCTCCCCCAGTCTAGGGCCAATGACTGTAACCCCCCGGTGCCCTGGCCCCTGCCTATTTAGTGTCAGGCTGGGGGAGAGGGAGAAATCAAAGCCACATACCCTCAGGAGTGGATTCTACTTCTGCTGCTGTAGAACATAGGTTCTCTAGAAAATACTTCTCTTTTCTCCTCCCACACTCTTGCCTGCAACTTCCTTTTTGCTGCTTCTTGGGGGAGAGGACCATGCTCAGCCATAGCTAAGGAGTGGAACCTTCCAAGCCCAGTACTGCTTCAGACTTCGTCCTGTCTCAGCCCTAAGGTTGGGTCTGAAAATCTTGACACAAGCACCCTACCCTTCCAATCTGGGGCTGTGACTTCTGTGCTGGGCCTTTCAGAAATGCATACAGTATCTTCCTTATAGGGTTGTGTCTCCTTTTTCCACTCACTGGATACAGGTGTCACTGACTACACAAGGAACAAAACCATATATAGTGGGATGCCAACCCACAAGGATTCTCTTGGAGTTTTCAGGAATTAATCTGTAATTAAAGATTATGTCATGTGATGAAACCTCCAAGAATATGTCCAACCAGAATTGGCAACCTTGAGAAACACCCTCACTGTGTACAATTTTTTTTTTTTTAAATCTAAAACATTCTGATTTTGGAAGGAAATTGATAAATATTATGCTTCCATGTAGATACAATATAATGTACCAATAAATTTCCTATCCTGAATTAGGAAGTGTATTAGGTTACTAATCTCCATGTCTACCAAGCAAACATAATTTTGCATGTATTTTAATTGCTTTTTAGTTTTTGCAAGTATACGTGAATGTAGAAACTTCACTTAGTTGTGCTATATTTTATATATAGTAGTAATCTGCAGTTACCTAAACAGCAGTACATTACAAAAACACATTCTGTATAAATCAGACTGCTGCAAGAACAAATATTAGACTTGTATTTAACTTGTGTCATTTTTTAGCTTTTTCCACCCCACCTCCACACTCCCAAAATGCATAGCACGCGTCATGTGAAAACTAAATTGCCATATGAGGTATATTATTAAGACTCGTCTAAACAATAACGCTTGTGTGACAACATGAGAGCAAAGAAAGAATGTCCAAATATGGCTGAGAGTTAAATACCCTGAGAATTAAGTGTTCTTAAATTCACTGGAGTTTATAAATCTGCATTAACCAAAAGAGAAATAAAGAGAAAATGATTCAACTCATTTTCCAGTACCATTCTCTACAGACGTTGTGTTATAAACCTCCTCCATATCCTGGATGCTGGAGGCATCTGTTGAATCTTGATCACTGGCTACAATTCCTACTGAAGAAAGGCTAGAAATGAAGGAGTGCATCCTTTTTGCATAAATATCCCTAATGTTAAAATAAGGTAGCTCATTACATTTCTTTTTGTGATCATTGTTGGATTGGTCTATATCAATATCCTTTTGCTTTTGATAGTATTTAGAAAACTTGTTGAAAATTATAGTGATTGGAAGGGCCACCACTAATATTCCACAGATAATACAAATGCTACCAATAAACTTTCCCAGCAGAGTGACCGGGAAAGTGTCTCCATAGCCAACAGTAGTCATGCTGATCGTTGCCCACCACCAACAGACTGGGATGTTGTGCAATTCTGATGCTTCATCGTCTTTTTCCACTGAGAAGACCAAAACTGAGAATATAGAAATCCCAACAGACAGAAACAAAAGCAAAAGTCCAACTTCATGGTAACTATGTCTCAAAGTGGCACCTAATGATCGAAGTCCTACAGAGTGCCTTGCTAGTTTCAGGATACGAAATATCCTCATTAGCCGTAGGATCTGAACCACTTTCCCCATATTCTCAATGTCTTGACTTTCTTCTTCCTTTGTGTCCACGGCCAACGTGGCATAAAATGGAATAACAGAGACAAAATCAATTATGTTCAGAGGGTTTTTCCAGAACTTCTTTTGACTTGGAGCTACAGCGAGCCTTATCACAAACTCGATGGAGAACCAGATGATGCACGCTATCTCCACAGCTTCCAAAACAGGGTCTTCAATCTCTCTATTATTGGCATCCTTTCTTTGGAACTCTGGCATGCTGTGGATGCACATGGCTACAATTGATGCTAGCACTACACTCAGGGAAGAAACTGCAATTAACTTGGCTGATAAGCAGTACCCAGGATTTTCCATTCTAATCCATACTTTCTTTCGTATTTCACCAAGCCACAGTTTATCAAATTTCTCCAGCTCTTTCTCAAATATGGATGATTCTTCATTGGAAGAGTCTATACTTCTCTCATTGCTTTTCTGATCCCAGTCCTTATCTTGACCTTCTTCTTTTCTTTCTTGATACCTACTGCTACAGCAAGAATCAATAAACAGCTCATTGATCCCCCAGTATTCTATTTCTTGGCAGAAGGAGAAGACACAAAGTTCCTCCATGAAATGCAGTTTACCCGTATAGTAAAAATTCAAAACATATCTAAACAAAGAAGGGTTCCTATCAAAGTAATATTCCTTGTCTGCATCGCTGTAATCATCACATAATTCCAGGATAGCCTCTTCAGAATGGCATTTGAGCAGTTTTCCAAGTCTGGTATGAGGAAATCGAAGCAAAGTACTTTGATCGACTGACTGCTTAAAGCCACCCACATTCAAGTGAATAAGTTCCTCATCTTTCCCAGGTCTATGGAAAAATTCACCATAAACCATTTTGAACACAGTAGTTCTGTTGCCGGCTTCCAAGGCACTAAACCATAAGATTACATTGCACCTAAAAGAACATAAGATATTATTAGACAATTTAATTCAGCTTTGCTCTTGCAGCAATTATTTTCCAATCTCCATTTACTGTGGAAAGGCTACATTGAAAAAAAGCAAAAAAAGACATGACAAAATCACTGTTAAACATTTCCACTAAAGTAGGTTTAAGTTAGTCTGGTGATTTATGAAATCAGAGTTAGAAAAATTGAATAAAATAGTTTCTGGTTCAGCATTCATCTTCATTTACTTTCTTCATTTATTATTACTCTTATCCTCTGGTATTATCAAATCTAAATTAATATTTATTCTGAAAAGTACAATGAATGTAAAAATTCTGAGACTAAAGGAAAAACGCACTCAGACTTTTAACCATTTAGGGCTAGATGTTGAACAGAATTTATTCATTCAATTTTGAAATCAAGTGAGCCACACCAATTTAAACCACTTGAAAATGTGGATTTTAGTAGCTTATTCTTTTATATATAATTTGCACTCTTTATATGATTTTATGTTAGTTGCATGCATTATTTCTTACATGATGCCAACACATCTTAATCTACACCCTTCCCTAGAACAGCATTCTATATTCCTATCACTTTCTGGCTGAAAACATTTCAAGAGTCTAGTTTAAACAGCTTTTCTTCATTTTCCTTTTCTGCCCTTGAAGATCTCTCTCACCCACATTTGTATATCTGCATTCATGAAGTTTCCAGCAAGAAGTTTGCTACCTGCTTTGCTACTCACCTGTAGTGATGCAAAGTTCCTTCTTAAGAATTTTATCAGTTCCAGAAGCACTTCCTACTTTGCCACAGCATATCTACAAGTGTACTTGTTACGCTGATAAACTGGTGATGAAGTATCATTTCTGGAAAGAGCAGTTTGCAGAGAGGGCACTTTGAGAGATATTTTGTTTCAGTAAATAAGATGAAGTACCTGTAGGTAGACACAAGTATTATATTATCAAAATTTCAGGCTAACTTGATACAAAAGGCAGATATTTTATATAGCATAATATTGTCTGTTGACTTTCCATGTGATTATATGACTTCTGACCTCTGTGACAATATAAATCCCTATGAGCTTATGATTTTGGATAATTAGAAGTTAATTTCCTGTATGTCAATTAAATTTATTTAAATTTAGGAAGACAATGAACATTGAATGCCACAAGAGAGCAGATAATAGTTTGTTAATTTATTATTATGCATATCACGTATTTTAACTGAATTGTTTGACTTTCTTGAATAGTCCAGTTTGCATGCAGCTGCCCTAGATCAGGCCTAAGGATTTGTATTGTTTGTATGCAGGTATTTTCAATGAGCACTAACCTCATTTGGAGTGAACTCAATCACCCATGTGGACAAACCCTAAGAATTTTCATTTATTACCAGCTAAACTGGACGTATTATTAAAAAAACAGAACGCTTAAACACATTTAAAAAAATAAACCTATTAAATCTAAATTTGAAGTTATAACAACTTATATCAAGTCTTAAACCAATTACAACTTACTATAGTAAACACTTTTAAATTAAACACAAAATTTAATATTTAAACACTCAATTCCACTCCAACATTTCCACTCCAACTCATCTGATGAAGTGGCTTTTACCCACAAATGCTCATGATATATTTGTTAATCTCTAAGGTGCCACAGGACTGCTCGCTGTTTTTAATATCCTAACAGCACATATTTGCTGCCAATGTTTTAAAGTTCTAAAACTGGTTAATTTGAATTTGAGACACCGACTTGAAAGAGCAGGAGGATATTTTCCTCTTCCAAACTAGAAACAACGAGTTGTGAGAGAATGAGATCTATTACTTTTAAAATTTTGAAGGATGTAGTAATCAGAAACAATCAGTTCAATTCACCTACTCCCTTTAATAAATCAGTTTATTTAAATGAAAAACAAATTTTCTTATGTAGTTTTATTTAATAACAAACATTTAAAGTGCTAGTTTTGTACATTTTAACTCCAATTTCTATGGAAGTGCAGCTTCAGACAAGATAACAGGTTAAAAAAAGTAATCATCTAATAAATAAGGTATGTCACTCATTTTCTAACTTTAAAAATGTAGGATTTAGAAATCTAAATAAATGTATGTTCAGCTATATAAATCTTTAATAAAGTTGTATAGATACAGTGTATCCTCTTGGTTAGCAAAAAGTACCTTCTTTCATGTAAAAGCTATTTGTAGTTATAAATCAACATGTTTTAATTCTTACCACCCTTGAAAAAGCATCTTTGCTTAGAAAAATAAATAAAAAGTATAAATGCAAAACAAGATTAAATTAATAATTTAAATTAAGGGTTCCAAGTTATTTAAACCATGATTAATTCCCCTGAGCTATCCAGCCCCCTCTAGCTGAATTTAAAAGAAGTTTATTTTACTTCTATAATTCCAGTTAAATGGACAGGATGAAAGGGGAGGATTCCATGACTGGCAAAGCAAATACCCAGCCCTATTCTGGAGGCACGCAGGCTGAGATTTGTATGGAATTTAAAAAGAGTATCGTGCAGGCATTAAGAATACAATTAATCTCATTTCCCTAACACTACCACCACCAACAGCTTGAATGGACTACCTGCAACAGTTGAATGTACATTACAGTCCCTCTTCTTACACATCTCTGGATTCCACTTGTCTAACCCAGAGATGAATTCTCAGTCACTGCTAACCCTGATATAATCAGAGCTACACACTGATTCTGCCTTTTAGGGATGAGAGTTTTATCCCTTATATTTGCTTATATTTTTAATTTTCCCAGTTGAAAATGTTTTGGGTGGGAAGTAACACCCTTACATAAACCATAGATCACCACAGTCATGGGCTAAACCAGACTGTTGGCCAGATCCTCTGTTGGTGTAACTCAGTTCAGCTCCATTGATTTTTAATGGCACTCTGATGATTTGCACCAGTTGAGGGTCTGACCTTATATGTTTGGGGTTTTTTTTTTTTTACTGTCAGTACTGACAATGACTTAATTTTCATTATGACAGAGAAGGTCCTACAGTTCAGAGCAGCAGCAATTTCCCCTAGTTGACATGAAGTTAAGCCATGCTTGTTCTTCTGTCTGAGTACATTTTTATCACTTGGATGCTTTTATTATTTCCTGGAAAGGTAGGAAAAAAGAAAATAAAATATCCACAGCTCAGGAAATGCTGCAGCTTGCAGCTTTGTTGTGTTTTTAAATGCCTATTCTCTATATGTCTAAATTACATAGGGTACATCTACACTAGCTCCCTACTTCGAACTAGGAAGGCTAATGAGGGTGACCAAAATTGCAAATAAAGCGTGGGATTTAAATATCCCACGCTTGATTATCATATTCCTGGCCGGTCGCCATTTTGGAAACTGACTAGCCCGAAGTAACTGCCCGTGTATACACGCGGCAGAGAAGCGGGATTCTGAGCTAAAACCCTTAGTTCGAATTAACTGTTAAACCTCATTCCACGAGGAGTAATTAGCAATTTCAGTCGCTCTCATTAGCCTCCCTAGTTCGAACGAGGGGGCTAATACAGACGTACCCATAGTGTTTTCAGCACCATTAACCTCTTGTTCACCTCCCCTCACTCTCCTCTACATGCACTTTGTTTAGGGCTGTAGAAGGCATTAATAGACAGCTACACAACTCAGTTCTACCTTATCACACTTTTTGTAAATGTTACCTTCCCATGCACATTGCACAAATAGAAACTGAGCATCAGATGCTAAAAACCTTAAATGCATAGGAATAATCCATACCCTTGAGTTATGTAAATTATAACTGTGTTGGTATAGACAGTGTTATATTGGTGGGAGAGCTTGTCACAAACGACATAGCTATGGTTTCTCACAGAAGCAGGCTGTAAGCCAATGGGAGTGCTCTCTTCGATCAACTTAGAGTATTTCTATCACAAGCACTGCAGGCTGTACTACTGTAGATGTAGCCTAATTATCCCTAATTCCTATGACTGGTGCCACCAAACCCAAAAGGAAACCAACAAGATTTCTCACATCTAGAAGGGGAGATCAGGGATGGGATCAGGACCAGAAGTTATTTAGCCAAATAAATGGGTAGCTTCAATTCTACAAAAGCAGATGTGTAGCCCCAGAGCGGTTTGTTTCTGCATTTTACACAGCAGACACCTCAGTTCGTTCATGTATTAGAAATGAGGAAACTGACATTCCTCAGTGAGAAAATAGCTTCTTCCATTTATGATATTGTAAAGCTCTTCAAATGACTTTTCAAATTAAAAATCTCATTGACATGTTAGCTTTCAGTAACTGATAAATGACTGTACAACCAAAGTAATGGCCCAATTGTACTAAAGCACTGGCCTTAGTAAAAAACAGGTTGTAAAATAGAAAAGATCAAAAAGGAAGGCCATTATCTCCGTTTTATACATGAGAAATTATGGTGCAAAGAGATTACATGATTTATCCACTCCATTTATAGCATAACTACAATCTTGCATATATCTGCAAATAGGAGCACTCTCAAAATAGACTAGTAACAGGAGTTACACTCATTCTGAGGACAGGGTTGCCAGGTGTTCAGAATGTTAAGTCAAAAAGGGACCTGGCAGCTCTAGTTGTCATCACCAAATGGGCCTATAAAAGTTCATTAAGGTATGTGGAGCTGGAGAATGAAGAAGGGGTACAGCAGGTTGATAATGAAGATGGAAGCGTAAGGAAGAAGAGAAGAGTGGCTAGTCCCATAGATAAAGGGGAAGACTTAATGGAGACAACACCAATAATGAGCATTAGGAGGATACAGGATGGGTTAAAAGGATTACAAGGGAAAATAGGAATGGCAAGGACTTGCAGCCAGAGGAAGCTAGAGATAGACTAGAGAATTTCACTGTCACTAGGAAAAGGCAGGTCTATGTGATTGGGGACTCCTTATTGAGAAGAATAGATAGGCCTGTAACCAGAGCTGATCCAGAGAATAGAAGGGTGTGCTGTCTGCCAGGTGCTAAGATACGAGATGTGGAACTGAGGTTGAAGAGAATTATTAAGGGAGCAGGAAGGAATCCATTGATCATCCTTCATGTAGGAACAAATGATACGGCTAGATTCTCGCTGGAACGAATTAAGGGAGACTACGCTAGGCTGGGGAGGATGCTCAAGGAAATTGAGGCTCAGGTGATTTTTAGTGGGATTCTGCCTGTTCATAATCATGTCACATCTTAGTTGCCCTTCTCTAGGATGATCAATAGATGGCTTAGGCAGTGGTGCTATAAGGAGGGCTTTGGGATGTATGGTCACTGGGAGGCATTTATGGACAGAGGACTGTTCTCTAGAGATAGACTTCACCTAAGTAGGGAGGGAAATAGACTTCTAGGATGGAGACTGGCTCAACTTATTAAGAGAGCTTTAAACTAGCAATTTGGGGGAGATGGTTGGGAGATGCCAAGGTAATCTCTACGCCAGATTTTAACACTGAGAGGGAGGAAAACGGTCCACGATCTCTGCACTAGGCACAGGAAAGTGGCCGTCTAGGGCAGGAGAGCTGCCAGCCTGGCCACCCAGGACCAGGTGTGCATGAAAATCAAGGGGGTCCACTGAGACCCCCGACACTGAGCCCTGAGCTTACAATGGCCGTACTGGGTCAGACCAAAGGTCCATCTAGCCCAGTAGCCTGTCTGCCAACAGCGGCCAACCCTAGGGACCCTGGAGGGGATGGACCGAAGACAGTGATCAAGCCATTTGTCTCGTGCCATCCCTCTCCAGCCTTCCACAAACTTTGGGCAGGGACACCACTCCTACCCTCTGGCTAATAGGACTCCATGGACCCAACCTCCATGACTTGATCTCACTTCCCTTTAAACTCTGTTCTAGTTGTAGCCTTCACAGCCTCCTGCAGCAAGGAGTTCCACAGGTTAACTATTTGCTTTGGGAAGAAGAACAACTTTCTCTTACTAGTTTCAAGCCTGCTACCCATTCCT